TTCTAAATGTGAATTGAATTAAGAAAAAAGTGACTGTGGCTACTTGGAAAAATACTATTAACTTTTCATGTTAGTAGAAAAGGTTGCAGCTCAGTTCTCCATCTTATGTCACTTGTCAAATCATGTTGCAATTTTTAATTATGTTCTTTATTTTTATATTATAATTCCATCATCTCTCCCTGCCCTTCCCTCCCTCCAATTCCTTCCATGTACCCTTTATTACTTTTATTTTAAACTTTGTTTTATTGAATGCTATGATTCCCACCATGATTCCCAACTCACTTCCTTCTGTCTAAATTGTCCTCTGTTCTTCAAGCACTGAAAACACATCAGGCTTCTAAAATCAGGTTTGAATATTAACTTGGCCATTCCCATCTTATCCTGGGTTAGGTTCAGGGATGAGACACTGTCACCAAGGTAGGAGTAGATTCATGTAGATTCCCTACATCGAAAGGTATTTAATTTGGCTTTTGGTATTTTTCTTTGTGCATAACAATATGTATCATTTTTACACATGTACCTATGTTTGCAATTCTCTCAGTATTAGAAAAAAAATTCCTAATAAAACTTTCTGTTTTCTCATGAATGATGATTCAGAGAAATAATCTAAAATGCACAGTGAATGAATAAGCCAGTGAGAGGAAGACTGCCAGGTTCTACTCCATGACCTCCTTCAGTTTAAAATGGCTCTGGAGAGGAATTAGAACAGAAGAATCAGAAAAGTAATCTTTTTGGTGTAACAAAGATTTTTATGGTCTAGAAAAATAGATAATTTATCAGCATTAAATTTGCACACAATGTCAATCAGTTTCACAAAGAGATAATGAAAGGCAGATAGATGACAATAATTAATCAAGGAACTGCTATAAGCTAAGATTAGTATGCTGATTTCAAGCAAGTTTGACATCCTGATAAAAAGGTAAAACACTGCACTCTGGGAGGTGGTAGGGGATAGCTCTTATTTCTTGAGAGTGGTACCAAAAAATCTGAAAATCAAGAAGCATTAGCACAGAAGAAGAAAATGTAAGCACACTGAAAAAAAAAAAAAAAAAAAACAGGCCCTGACCAGAAATGATTTAGCTAATAAATGCACAAGTAAGATTATTACGTTGTTGGTAGTCATCTGAAAAAATGTAATTTCTGCTTACAGAATGGAATAAACAATACCATACATCTACACAGCTATGAAAGTCAGTGTTTTCCAAAATGACAGATAAGTAACCACAATAAATCAGAAGGTGAAAAACACCTTTGCATTCCAGAATTTCTTTTCCTTGGGGACATTATGTGTGTGTTTACTATCAGAAGTAAGCACATTTTGCTAGAGTATAGGAATGATGGTGAGTGAGTGACAGATAATGCATACTGGAGTTCACTGGAATATGTAAGTAGGAAGACACTTTCAACACTTTCAGCTTAAATCACACGCAGATAAGTGTAAGCATGTTATATCTATATAAGCCAAATACACACGCAAATGCAATGGGTAAATCAGTGAGAGCATGTGAGTGTGTATTTACATGTACTGGAACTAAATACTAAATTCACTATATATAAATATAGAGATAGATAGATATTTATATGGATATTTATAAATATATAAGTATATATTTATAGATATTTAAATATATATATTTATATATAGCAAGATTTCTGGCAAAAACAAGATTATAACATTATCAGGGCAGGTAAAAAATAAGATGACACTCTGGAGTAGCTTGTAGTGACAATAAATATGGTTATTTTTATTTTCTTGTTTATAAAACGAAGCAGGGACATATCACTAGCTCACAGAGCCCAAAACTGACCATTCCATGTTTTACAGTGACACTCCTCCATCCTCGTGTAACTGTGTGGTATACCACCATACCAACAGATGTATCACACCCTAATAAAATACTGTCTTATTTTATATTTCTGTTTATGTGACAACAGAAAGAACTTAAGGGAGAAAGGCCTTATTTATATCACAGGTCAAGGTACCGTCATTGGGCATGCAGGTCAGCTGCATCCACAAATCCAGAAAGAGGGGGGAAATACATACACACTGCCGTTCGCTGTGCTGTCTCCGCTTGTATAGTCCAGCATCCTCGGCTAGGGAAGGGCCCTGCTCAAAACTAGGGTGAGTTATTCCACATCAACTAATATAACTTAGATAATCTCCCACAGGGCATGCCCAGAGACCCACCTGCCCGGTGATTCTACATACTGTCACACTGATGAGTAACAATGGCCATCACCAGTCCCCTCTTATCAATGGGCCTGTAGGTTGTTTTGTGTTTCATTAAACCCAAAAGTACCTCAAATATTTGTAATTTGGATAGTATAGTTTTAGGTTTAGAAAAACTAAAGACGGTGTTTAGAATTAAAGAACAAATGTTAAATGCTATTCGTTTGACTCAACCAGTAGATTCTCACCTAGATTGTCAAAAGTTTCTAGTTTGTTTTCTATGTCCTCTGCCTTGTTGTGTAACTTTACCACACAGACATAAATATTTATCGTCTGAAGTAGAAGTGTCATCTTCCCTAGTTTGCTTGCAGCTTCTCCATACTTCCCCATCGATTAGGCATAGACAAAACTGCTGAGAAAAAACAGTTCACAACACCTCTACTTTGCTGCCTCCCTTCCAGCACTTTCCCTTAAATGATCAACAGAAAAACCAAATTCTTCTGTTCTGTGAACTTAGTCTGAACCACCTCCAAATCATGAACTGCTCACCTGTTACTTCCGGGCTCTCTCTTTCAAAACCTTGATTACATTTTATTTTTCCAAGCACACTTTAATGGCAAACACGGCCTACTCTTTTTCAGAACTGTAGGGAAGTTTTAAATATATTTTATTAGAACAGAGAAGCCAGGTAATAGGTCCGTGGTAACATAGCCAGGAAACCGGAAGCCTTAGATCTGAAGCCAGACAGCCATTACTACCCCACAAGCCGGAAGTCCTTGTGGGAGGCCATATTACTTTTTCTGAATAACATGGATTCTACTTTTCTTTTTAGCTTCCAGATACCTTGTCACACCAAAAATTTATTGGCCCCATAGTTTTTGATAGACTGCAGTTTCTTAGAGCAAAAACCTGATAATCAATGCAATCCTATCTAAAATGTTCTATAGATCAAGTGCTGCAAGTAAGATTTCAGCTCAATGGTTGGACCAAGCAGGGACTCATAAACATTACAGCTTCTCTATTAACAGTGGAGAATTTTTTTTTGTTCACTTTCATTCACAAATACTTAGGTACCATATATCTCTCTATATATCTATAGATGTATCTGTCTATATGCATACAGTATACATACATGACATACTCAAATAAGGAGAGTTGAGACCACTATAGTAAAATGGGTATTCTAATTAGTTGATAAATGGAAATTTAAAAAAACATTACTATATGAGAAGAATGTAGCTGTGGCACCTACAGGCATACCAGTCTGGGTGTAAGAGCTCTATATAAAACACAGCCTGCCCTGCATCCATCCAGATCAGTGCTGCTGTCCAAACTTGTGGAAGCTCCAGTTTTCAAGTTTAAGAACAAAAGTCAACAACTGCCCCTATCCATCAGCAAGGATCAAAAGTTACCCAAGTAGAAGATGAGTTGTATGGCTTATATGCTTTGAGTTTTAAATTTAATTTAAACTCAACTTAATTTTTATGGGGCTTGTTTTATTATCTCTTACAACAGAAGCAGAATTCTATTATTTGCAGCCTTAGTTTTCACACAGACAGAAAAGATAAAAAAGAAAACATTTCAAATCCCTCTTGATGTGCAAGACTAAAGCCTCATAAACCAAAAATGACAATGCATGATTTGTGTAATCCAATTACTCACAATTTGGTTGTTTTTGTCATAACAATCTGTGCTGAGATGTAACAGGAATGTGGATGAAAAACAAAACAACAACAAAAAAATGATGTGATTTTAAAAGGAAAACTAAGAATTTAGGCAACAAGAACATTCTGGAGTTTTAACAAGGACAGCTAGTTGGTGTGCTCTTTGTTGGGAAAGACAGTCTCTCCCAGTCCCAGCTTTGCTCAGTTGCCTGTAGTTTTTGTGGAAGGTTGAGGCCTCCTGGGCTTTCCCCTGGCCTTTTAGGAACACCATTAAAGACCCAGTTTATTGTCATTTGTCTTTAGGACATATCATTTTGTATTGAGAGGTATCAAAGCATACACAGGACATTAGAAAGCTTTCCTCCACGCTGTCTACAGCTACTGCAATTACCCGCTTTGGATGTGTCCCAGACTCTTCCATAAAATGACACCCAGTGGAATGACAGTTTTAGAGGTGATTCTGTGGACAAAGTGACAATATTCCTAAAACCCTAAGGTAATTCTTTTTCACTTTTTTCTATATACTCAAATGGCTGACATCATCTGCAAAAAAGCATACATCTTCTTGGAGGTGACAGAGAATACAGTGAACTTCCCAAACCCCCAAGAAAAAGAGATGTATGGAAAACACACGCATACAACACACACCTGCAGGAAAGCATCTTTTTGGGTGAATCACTGAACAGAAATGAATGCAGACTGTAAGTGCTTTTCTTAATTTACACTTCTCAATGTCCATTCCTAATTCTGCCAGCCCTTTGAAAAGCATGTTGGAGGTCTCTTGAGTTTTCATCTCTGTCTTCATCCTGTTTCTTGCAGGTAACTACTTTCTGTTAATTCCCTCCCCCACTTTTCTCCCCCTCTCTCACACACCTCCTTTTTCTAGCATGTGAAAACTTCTCTGACTCTTCACCAACCTTACCTCCTCCAATTCTGCCCTCCTGGACCACATCCTCATCATCCCCGGGGGGGCCCTTTGCCCCCTCTTTCCTCCTCTGCTTCGCTGAGCACCTTTTCCGCATCCATTCCCATCAAGGGCTTTGCAGATTCCCAGGCAGTTTGCTGGTGAGAAATCTTTGCAGCAGCTGCAGCAAAGACTACAGTCCACCCCCCACCCCCTCGCGTGGACGCGCGCGCGCGCGCTCGCAGCCTAATGGCAGAAGCGGGCTAGGCTGGGCTAAGCTGAGAGGAAAGGGCTGTCAGCTGGGAGGCAGCCTGTCCTCCCCGGAGCCTGCAAGGATGCGGCAGGGGACTGAGACCATGGGGAGGTGCTAACTTCCTCTCCAACCCCCCAGCCCGGGATCCGGGCTGGCATACCCGGCCCCCGGGGCTAGTTTCCTGCCAAGCTCAACCAAGAAGCCAAAGGCGCCTTGGAGGGCATAAAAAGAAAGAGTGGTGCTGGAGAGGGGCGACCACGTCCAGAGCCGGACCCTCTGCAAACCCAGGAAAAAAGAAGGAAGGGGATCAGACACTGGCGAGGGGACGCCAGAACCTTAGTCTGCAGACTCGCTGGAGAGCCTCCCTGGAGACCTGGGCGCTCTGGTGAGCACCGGCTGGGGGGAAGGGGACCGGCGAGGAGCGAAGGGCAAGGGGGTGAGGAACCCATGGCGGGAGTGAGCGCTCGGATACCGAGGCGCGGGAGGCGCTCAGGGATGCTGTGGCCCGGGCGGGGGTCGGCTGCGAGCTGAGCGCGTGCTGCGCCCGCGTCGGTGTGGATGTGAGCAGGGGAGCGCAAGTGAGCTACAGACAGAGCGCATGTCTCATCCCTGCGAGCAGAGCAGAAGCTAGACCCGCCACCACCATCTTCTGCATGAACATTATCAGCAGGACAGAAAACCTCCCCCAGGGCTATGGAGACTGCGGGAAACATCTGGCAGCTGGGGATGGATTGCTGAGGGGAAGCTGTTATAACCTCGAAGGGTCCAAACCTTTCTTTCTTTCTTTCTCTCTCTCTCTCTCTCTTTCTCTCTTCTTTTCTTTCTCGTTTTTCTTTTCTTTCTTTCCTTTTTCCCTCCTTTTTTTTTTCTTTTCTTTTTTCTTTTTTTTTAATTTTAGCGCCATCGTCTTCAATGCCTCTCTGAAGATCATTTAGCAAGAGTGTGAGAGAAAGAGAGGAGAGGAGCGCGCCAGGGAGAGGAGCAAAGAAAATGAGGATTATTTGCAGACAGATTGTCTTGTTGTTTTCTGGATTTTGGGGACTCGCCATGGGAGCCTTTCCGAGCAGCGTTCAAATAGGTAAGAACCGACTGGGGAGAGTACATGTGGCTGGAGTGAGTTAAATGAGTTGCAGATACGGAACCCCACGGAGGCGCCTTTACAAATAAACCTTCTCGCTGCAAGTTGAGATGGACACAGGCTAGCACACCCAGCCCCGACCCTAGTTCCAATTTGCTCTCCAATAGGTTAAAGTAGGATCGGGAAAAGTTGAAGGAAAGAGAAAAAAAAAAAAATAAATGAACCTCCGTGGACTTTGATTGCATTTTATAGCACGTTTCTCTAAACGCTCTTCATAGAGCAAGAGAAAATACCGAGTTTTATTTTGTTTTTTCATTTTTCTGTTTTTTTTCAACCCCCTTCTCCCTATTCTGCAAGCTGCAGCGTTCTTACAATTACAGAAAGAGACTGGGGCGGAAAGCATTTTCTGCCCGCACCTCTTCCTTGTTGCCTTACGAGCTGGCAAATTCAAAAGTTAGATCCTTTTCGAGGAACCTTCATTGGCTTTATTTTCCTCTTGACTTAAGCGCCCGCTCTTCCGTATTCTTGGGTCCCCACAGTGTTTGCAGCGACCCTGCTTTCCCCTAAGGTGCTGGCCGTTCTCCTCTCACGTCTGTTGCTGGGACTCGGCTATTGAATTTTTTCCAGCCCAGCCCAGCCCAGCCTCAAACACTGCATCATTTTTTGGTGTACCATGCACTCAACCGAACTAATTGGACCTGGTACACAGAAGCAGGGAGCCAAACTACGTCCTCCCCCTTTAGAATCTGCTCTCTAGCTGCCTTCACATTCCTTCATTCTGACCTGTATTTTGATGGAAATCTCTCTGCTCATCTGCATCCTTACTGATAAAGAGAGGTGTCCTGAACGGGCTGGTGTAGCTGGGAGGATCCTGAAGGAGGCAAGGGAAAGAAAGCAAGATACTCCAAACGGTCTCAGAGGTCATTGTGATTATGACAGATTGAAGCAAGGAGAAGCTGAGCTGCCCTGAAGACTAAAACATTAAACATGCATTGCAGGGACAAAAGGCAGCCCCTATGAGATGGCAACAGAGCTCCTTGATTGTGTGTGCTCGCGGTTGGAGGTGTTTGGCAGTCCTGTGGCCGGGGGTAACATTTAAAACAGGAAACAGTGAGTGTGTGTTTTCTACTGTCTTTTATAGGTGGTCTTTTCATCCGAAACACAGACCAGGAATACACTGCTTTCAGATTGGCAATCTTTCTTCATAACACCAGCCCCAATGCCTCTGAAGCTCCTTTCAATTTGGTACCTCATGTGGACAACATTGAGACAGCCAACAGTTTTGCTGTGACAAATGCCTGTAAGTAAAATATAAGTTACAGCCAAATTGAAAGAGAATTGAAACGAGCTAGTGGGATTTCCTTCTTTGTTAAGAATTTTCTAGGGAGAAAAAAAATAAATAAAAGAAGATTCCAGCAGTTCCCTAACAGTTCTCTGGTGTTAGAGAAAAATCATAGTTTAAAAAGATTTAGTCTTTGGGATTTTCCGATAATTTCTATCTCCTTCCTTTCACTGCTTTCCTCCCTGTAACCATCCCTCCCTCCCTACATTTCTCCTTTCCTCCTCTCTTTATTTCCTCCCATTTTGCCTTTTAATTTTGTTTCCCCTGCCTGGATGACATAAGCTGAATTTTCCTGTAACATTTTAGTGTCTCTCCTGTCTGGTGCACGCCGTTGTAAACTGTACTCAGTCTCGTGTTCTGTCCTTTGGTTTCTTCTTCTTGATTTTCACTGTAGTAAGCTCCTGCCTTCCCTTTAAAGAAGACACATGCTCTTTTGAGTAGTAAAGGCCATGGGGAGGATGCCAGAAGAGTGATGAGGAGAAAATACATTTAAGTCGGCCACTAGACACTACATAAGATCCAGTGATGTCGTTAGAGGCTGCTCTGCCCTTCCTTATAGTACAAGCTGTGAATGTCTCTTGCTACCTTAGTGGATGTCTGTTCATGGAATTCCATGAAGCCTTGTTGCCAGTCACTTTAGTCTCTGATCTACCTGAATTCTAAAACAAACCCAGTTGAATCTCCCACACAATGAAAACAAATGAAAGATCTCACATGCTACAAGGGAACAATTACACATCAAGGTTCTATGAAGCTTGATATGGAAAAGAAGCTAACTAATGGCATTAATGTAAAGCACTGAGATGTGGTCCAACAATGGCACTGGTCCTGCTTTTAGTTCTGGAAGTATGGGCACTCATCAGATGCTTTCTCTCTTTCTTTTGTGCATCTCTACTGCTGTATTAGAGTTTGGGGATTATCTGAGACACGTAGCAATGATCTCTATAAAATGCTGTGTGCTTTGTTTCTACTGCACCAAGCTAAACATTTTTTAATTAAAAAATTTCAGGACAAGAAAATGAACTAAACAAAGAAAGAATTGGAACAGAAAATAGGGTTTGAAGTGAAGAAAAGTGTCTATTTCATGAACTAAAGTGTTTGCATTTGTATTTATTTGTCATTAATTCACTTACCGGATAACAGGTTGATTCTTTTTTTAATTTGAAAGTCTGTTTACTACTACATTTTAGAACTTAATTGCATGAAGATATTGAAGCTTTTTGACAGATTTTGAAAAGTGTTTTAATTCTATTACTTGTCATGACTCCTACACTTTCAGTTCTACTTACTGATTGTTGCTTGTTTGTTTTACTTGGTGATACAACTAATACTAAAGCAAAAGAGGGTATTTTTAAGCCAAGTTGCATTTTAATTAAACCTAGGTTTGTGGATAGTTATTTATAAATTTTATAAGTTGTTTTCTTTATATGCCAAGTATTAAATGAGCAATCAACATTTCTTACAATTCTATTCAAAGCATAGTTAGTTAGTTAGTTAGTTAGTTAGTTAGTTAGTTAGTTAGTTAGTTAGTTAGTTAGTTAGT